GAAAGTGGGTGCAGGAGGGAAGAGGACGATTGGGGGAAAGATGATGTAAAGAGAGTGTAGGGAGAAAAAAATTTTGCATATGAGAATTTTTACAAGTAGAAGTGACAAGGAGGGAGGGGTATTGGAAAAAAGAGAGAGGTTAAGAGAGTGGTGAAGCAAGTAAAAAGAGAGCAAAAAGAGAGAGTGGATAGATTTATCAACAAATTTTTTTTTTTAAAATAAGAAAAAGTTTTGGGGGGTGAGATTAACAAGTTAAGAAAGCCTAGAGAACAAATGGATTTGTCAGTTAAAAATAGGAGAGGAGAGTTATTAAATGGAGAGTTAGAGGTATTGGGAAGATGGAGGGAATATTTTGAGGAATTGTTAAATGTTGATGAAGATAGGGAAGCTGTGATTTCGTGTATAGGGCAAGGAGGAATAACATCTTGTAGGAGTGAGGAAGAGCCAGTTGTGAGTGTGGGGGAAGTTCGTGAGGCAGTAGGTAAAATGAAAGGGGTAAGGCAGCCGGGATTGATGGGATAAAGATAGAAATGTTAAAAGCAGGTGGGGATATAGTTTTGGAGTGGTTGGTGCAATTATTTAATAAATGAATGGAAGAGGGTAAGGTACCTAGGGATTGGCAGAGAGCATGCATAGTTCCTTTGTATAAAGGCAAAGGGGATAAAAGAGAGTGCAAAAATTATAGGGGGATAAGTCTGTTGAGTATACCTGGTAAAGTGTATGGTAGAGTTATAATTGAAAGAATTAAGAGTAAGACGGAGAATAGGATAGCAGATGAACAAGGAGGCTTTAGGAAAGGTAGGGGGTGTGTGGACCAGGTGTTTACAGTGAAACATATAAGTGAACAGTATTTAGATAAGGCTAAAGAGGTCTTTGTGGCATTTATGGATTTGGAAAAGGCATATGACAGGGTGGATAGGGGGGCAATGTGGCAGATGTTGCAAGTGTATGGTGTAGGAGGTAGGTTACTGAAAGCAGTGAAGAGTTTTTACGAGGATAGTGAGGCTCAAGTTAGAGTATGTAGGAAAGAGGGAAATTTTTTCCCAGTAAAAGTAGGCCTTAGACAAGGATGTGTGATGTCACCATGGTTGTTTAATATATTTATAGATGGGGTTGTAAGAGAAGTAAATGCGAGGGTCTTGGCAAGAGGCGTGGAGTTAAAAGATAAAGAATCACACACAAAGTGGGAGTTGTCACAGCTGCTCTTTGCTGATGACACTGTGCTCTTGGGAGATTCTGAAGAGAAGTTGCAGAGATTGGTGGATGAATTTGGTAGGGTGTGCAAAAGAAGAAAATTAAAGGTGAATACAGGAAAGAGTAAGGTTATGAGGATAACAAAAAGATTAGGTGATGAAAGATTGGATATCAGATTGGAGGGAGAGAGTATGGAGGAGGTGAACGTATTCAGATATTTGGGAGTGGACGTGTCGGCGGATGGGTCTATGAAAGATGAGGTGAATCATAGAATTGATGAGGGAAAAAGAGTGAGTGGTGCACTTAGGAGTCTGTGGAGACAAAGAACTTTGTCCTTGGAGGCAAAGAGGGGAATGTATGAGAGTATAGTTTTACCAACGCTCTTATACGGGTGTGAAGCGTGGGTGATGAATGTTGCAGCGAGGAGAAGGCTGGAGGCAGTGGAGATGTCATGTCTGAGGGCAATGTGTGGTGTGAATATAATGCAGAGAATTCGTAGTTTGGAAGTTAGGAGGAGGTGCGGGATTACCAAAACTGTTGTCCAGAGGGCTGAGGAAGGGTTGTTGAGGTGGTTCGGACATGTAGAGAGAATGGAGCGAAACAGAATGACTTCAAGAGTGTATCAGTCTGTAGTGGAAGGAAGGCGGGGTAGGGGTCGGCCTAGGAAATGTTGGAGGGAGGGGGTAAAGGAGGTTTTGTGTGCGAGGGGCTTGGACTTCCAGCAGGCATGCGTGAGGTGTTTGATAGGAGTGAATGGAGACAAATGGTTTTTTATACTTGACGTGCTGTTGGAGTGTGAGCAAAGTAACATTTATGAAGGGATTCAGGGAAACCGGCAGGCCGGACTTGAGTCCTGGAGATGGGAAGTACAGTGCCTGCACTCTGAAGGAGGGGTGTTAATGTTGCAGTTTAAAAACTGTAGTGTAAAGCACCCTTCTGGCAAGACAGTGATGGAGTGAATGATGGTGAAAGTTTTTCTTTTTCGGGCCACCCTGCCTTGGTGGGAATCAGGCCAGTGTGATAATAAAAAAAAAAATAAACTGCTAAATAAGCCACCATGGGCCCCAAGAAAGCTTCTAGTGCTAACCCTGTGGTAAAAAGGGTGAGAAGTACAATTGAACTGAAGAAAGAGATAATCACAAAGTATGAAAGTGGAGTGCATGCCTCCGAGCTGGCCTGGTTGTACAACAAACCACAATCAACCATCGCTACTATCTTGGCCAAAGAAAGGCAATCAAAGAAGCTGTTGTTGCAAAAGGTGCAAGTATGCTTGCAAAACAGAGATCACATATACTCGAAGATGTGGAGAGACTGTTATTGGTGTGGATCAACGACAAACAATTATCAGGAGATAATGTTTCACAGTCAATCATATGTGAAAAGGCATGGCAGTTGCATGCAGATCTCATTAAGAAAATGCCTGGAACTAGTGCTGATGTTAGTGATTTAAGGCCAGCAAAGGTTGGTTTGAGAGATTTAAGAATCGTAGTGGAATACACAGTGTGATTAGGCATGGTGAGGCTGCCAGTTCAGACCACAAAGTGGCTGAAAAATATGTGCATGAATTCAAGAAGTATATGGAGGCTGAAGGATTGAAACCTGAACAAGTGTTTAATTGTGACAAAACAGGCCTGTTTTGGAAGAAATTGCCAAGCAGGACCTACATTACACAGGAGGAAAAAGCACTGCCAAGACACAAGCCTATGAAAGACAGGCTAATTCTAATGTTTTGTAGTATTGCTAGTGGGGATTGCAAATTGAAGTCTCTACTCATGTATCACTCTGAAACTTCCAGTGTGTTCAAGAAAACCAGTGTCGTCAAGGCTAATCTGTGTGTGATGTGGAAGGCAAATAGTAAGGCATGGGTCACTAGGGACATTTTCCATGATTGGTTCTATCATGTGCTTGGCCCCAATGTGATAAAATACCTCCTGGAAAATAAACTGGACCTTATGTGCCTCCTGGTATTAGACAATGCTCCTGCTCATCTTTCAGACTTGCCAGAGTGAATGGTGGGGAAGCTGAACTTCATCAAAGTGAAGTTTTTTGCCTCCTAATACCACTCCTCTCCTCCAGCTCATAGACCAGCAAGTCATTTCAAATTTCAAAAAACTATACACTTAAGAGGCGTTTCAAAAGTGCTTTGAAGTGACCTCAGACACTGAATTGACCCTAAGAAAGTTTTGGAAATATCACTTCAGTATTCTCAGTTGCATAAACCTTACAGGTAAGGCTTGGGAGGGATTGACTTGCAGGACTTTGAACTCTGCTTGGAGGAAACTGTGGCCAGAATGTGTACAAGAGAGGGATTTTGAAGGGTTTGGGGCTAACCCTGAGGAGCCTATACCAGTTGTTGAATCTACTATGTCATTGGGAAAGTCCATGGGGTTGGAGGTTAGTGGGGAGGATGTGGAAGAGTTGGTGGAGGACAACGATGAAGAACTAACCAATGATGAGCTGCAAGAGCATTTGCAACAGCAAGAGACCACAACTGAGGAAATTGCTTCAAAGGAGGGGAGAGAGAGAGAGATGGAGGAAGTTGCATTCTTCAACGATTAAGGACATTTGTACAATGTGGACAAAGGTGCAAGCCTTTATGGAAGAACATCACCCTGACACAGCTATTGCAAGCCATGCTGGTGACTTTTACAATGACAGTGTTGTGGCCCATTTTAGGAAAATCTTAAAGGAGTGCCTGATACAGAGCTCTATGGACAGATTTTTGGTGCAACAGAGGTCTAGTGACTGTCAAGTTGTTCCCAGTGGCATTAAAACAAGAAGGGAAGTAACCCCAGAAAAGGATTTGCTACCTCAACTCCTTATGGAAGGGGATTCCTGCTCCAAACAATAATACGTACACCTCCATCATCTCCCCTCCTCCCATCTCATCACTCATCAATAAATCTTCTTCTTCATTTATTCTTCATGTAGGATTTATTCTTCATGTAGTATATAAATTTTTTTTAATACTTTTGGATGTCTGAAATGGATTAATTGGATTTCCATTATTTCTTATGGGAAAATTAATTCGGCTAACGATAAAATTGGTTAAGGACAAGCTCTCTGGAACGGATTAAAATCATTACCTGAGGGTCCACTGTATTTCTCATTGTTTTCTGTATGTAAAACTATAGTTATTCTCTAAAAAATGCATTTTTTGTTAATACTTTTGGGTGTCTGGAACAGATTAATTGGATTTACATTATTTCTAATGGGGAAAATATTTTGGTTTTCGTGATTTTTGGGTTTCGTCAGACTCTCTGGAACGAATTATCATGAAAACCGAGGGTCCATTGTAACTAAGAATTTGGTCAAATGGAATAATAAAACTGGCATGAAATAGGACTCAAATTGGGTAAAATTGCCAATGCATAAATCCTGCCTAGACATCTCACTTTATGCCTGTGTAATTCCATAAGTTTTCCATCAAATTCTGTAATTTTGTTGTCATTATCTTCAGAAAAGAATTCTCTACCAGTTCCAAAGATTTTTAAAAAATGGATACAATGAGCAATATTAATTTAAAGGGTCTGACTTATGACCTGCTCGAGATACAACCACTCATACTTATGACCGTACATCTGGCAGCATATACAGTAGTAAAATATTTAGTAAAAGGTAACATATGATACTATAAGGGTACTTTATATAACAAAGGATTGACATTATGCCCTACCCAGTATGGAGGCAATTTTCTAAGGTTTGACTTGCGTCAATATTGATTTATGACCGGTTGGTTGGAACTGAGCTCAATCGTAAGTCAGATGGTATTTGTACAAAACTACTAAAAAAACTCTTAATAATACTTAGGTGATCTGCGGAGAGGAATGAAGTGGCTGAGAGCATGACGATATCTGGCCATTGCGGCAGCATTGTGCTGGTACTTGAGAGACACTTGGTGGTAGCGCTCTTCTCGTAAATCACGAGCAATACCAGCATCACTCAGAGAAAATCCTCTCTCTAATGTGCACTCCATTCCCATATATCTACGGAACATTATATAAGAATTATTAACAAGCAAATCACTTCCATACAGTATAGTATCTACAAATAATCATCAATGAATGCCTTGATAATCAAAGTTCTTGCTATGAACAACTCACTCTGGACAACACTGGGCACAACACTCACTCTGGACAACACTGGGGCAACACTCACTCTGGACAACACTGGGGCAACACTCACTCTGGACAACACTGGAGGCAACACTCACTCCAGACAACACTCACTCTGGACAACACACTCTGGACAATACTGTGGGCAAAACTCACTCTGGACAACGCTCACTCTGGACAACGCTCACTCTGGACAACGCTCACTCTCGACAACGCTCACTCTCGACAACGCTCACTCTCGACAACGCTCACTCTCGACAACGCTCACTCTCGACAACACTCACGCTCGACAACACTCACGCTCGACAACACTCACGCTCGACAACACTCACTCTGGACAACACTCACTCTGGACAACACTCACTCTGGACAACACTCACTCTGGACAACACTCACTCTGGACAACACTCACTCTGGACAACACTCACTCTGGACAACACTCACTCTGGACAACACTCACTCTGGACAACACTCACTCTGGACAACACTCACTCTGGACAACACTCACTCTGGACAACATCACTCTGGACAACACTCACTCTGGACAACACTCACTCTGGACAACACTCACTCTGGACAACACACACTCTGGAAAACACTCACTCTGCACAACACTCACTCTGGACAACACTCACTCTGGACAACATTCTGGACAATACTCACTCTGGACAACATTCTGGACAACACTCACTCTGGACAACACTCACTCTGGACAACATTCTGGACAACACTCACTCTCGACAACACTCACTCTCGACAACACTCACTCTCGACAACACTCACTCTCGACAACACTCACTCTGGACAACACTCACTCTGGACAACACTCACTCTGGACAACACCACTCTGGACAACACTCAATCTGGACAACACCCACTCTGGACAACACACTCACTCTGGACAACACTCACTCTGGGACAACACTCACTCTGGACAACAATCACACTCTAGACAACACTCACTCTGGACAACACTCACTCTGGACAACACTCACTCTGGACAACACTCACTCTGGACAACACTCACTCTGGACAACACTCACTCTGGACAAGACTCACTCTGGACAAGACTCACTCTGGACAACACTCTGGGCAACATTCTCTATGGACAACACTCACTCTCGACAACACTCACTCTCGACAACACTCACTCTGGACAACACTCACTCTGGACAAAACTCACTCTGGACAACACTCACTCTGGACAACACTCACTCTGGACAACACTCACTCTCAACAAAACTCACACTGGACAAAACTCACACTGGACAACACTCACTCTGGACAACACTCACTCTGGACAACACACACTCTGAACAACACACACTCTGGACAACACACACTCTGGACAACACTCACTCTCGACAACACTCACTCTCGACAACACTCACTCTCGACAACACTCACTCTCGACAACACTCACTCTCGACAACACTCACTCTCGACAACACTCACTCTCGACAACACTCACTCTCGACAACACACACTCTCGACAACACTCACTCTCGACAACACTCACTCTCGACAACACACACTCTCGACAACACACACTCTCGACAACACACACTCTCGACAACACACACTCTCGACAACACACACTCTGGACAACACTCACTCTGGACAACACGCACTTTGGACAACACGCACTCTGGACAACACTCACTCTGGACAACACTCACTCTGGACAACACTCACTCTGGACAACACTCACTCTGGACAACACTCACTCTGGACAACACACACCCTGGACAACACACACTCTGGACAACACACACTCTGGACAACACTTACACTGGACAACACTCACTCTGGACAACACTCACTCTGGACAACACTCACTCTCGACAACACTCACACTGGACAACACACACTCTGGACAACACTCTGGGCAACACTCATTCTGGACAACACTCACTCTGGACAACACTCACTCTGGACAACACTCATTCTGGACAACACTCATTCTGGACAACACTCACTCTAGATAACAGTTGCTCTGAACAACACTCTGGGCAACAATCATTCTGGACAACACTCACTCTGGACAACACACACTCTGGACAACACTCACACTGGACAACACTCACTCTGGACAACACACACTCTGGACAACACTCACACTGGACAACACTCACTCTCGACAACACTCACACTGGACAACACTCACTCTGGACAAAACTCACTCTGGACAACACTCACTCTAGACAACACTCACTCTCGACAACACTCATTCTGGACAATGCTCACTCTGGACAATGCTCACTCTGGACAACGCTCACTCTGGACAACGCTCACTCTGGACAACGCTCACTCTGGACAACGCTCACTCTGGACAACGCTCACTCTGGACAACGCTCACTCTGGACAACGCTCACTCTGGACAACGCTCACTCTGGACAACGCTCACTCTGGACAACGCTCACTCTGGACAACGCTCACTCTGGACAACGCTCACTCTGGACAACGCTCACTCTGGACAACGCTCACTCTGGACAACGCTCACTCTGGACAACGCTCACTCTGGACAACACTCACTCTGGACAACACTCACTCTGGACAACACTCACTCTGGACAACACTCACTCTGGACAACACTCACTCTGGACAACACTCACTCTGGACAACGCTCACTCTGGACAACGCTCACTCTGGACAACGCTCACTCTGGACAACACTCACTCTGGACAACACTCACTCTGGAAACACTCACTCTGGACAACACTCACTCTGGACAACACTCACTCTGGACAACACTCACTCGGACAACAATCACTCTGGACAACACTCACTCTGGACAACACTCACTCTGGACAACACTCACTCTGGACAACACTCACTCTGGACAACACTCACTCTGGACAACACTCACTCTGGACAACACTCACTCTGGACAACACTCACTCTGGACAACACTCACTCTGGACAACACTCACTCTGGACAACACTCACTCTGGACAACACTCACTCTGGACAACACTCACTCTGGACAACACTCACTCTGGACAACACTCACTCTGGACAACACTCACTCTGGACAACACTCACTCTGGACAATACTCTAGCCAACATTCTCTCTGGACAACACTCTGAACAACACTCACTCTGGACAACACTCACTCTGGACAACACTCATTCTGGACAACACTCATTCTGGACAACACTCACTCTGGACAACACTCATTCTGTTCAACATTCTCTCTGGACAACACTCTGGATAATACTCTAGCCAACATTCTCTCTGGACAACACTCACTCGGGACAACACTCACTCTGGACAACACTAACTCTGGACAACACTAACTCTGGACAACATTAACTCTGGACAACACTCACTCTAGGCAACACTCACTCTGGACAACACTCACTCTGGACAACATTCACTCTGGACAACACTCACTTTGGACAACTCTCTGGACAATAATCACTCTAGATAACACTCACTCTGGATAATAGTCACTCTGGACAACACTCTGGGCAACTATCATTCTGGACAACACTCACTCTGGGCAACATTCTCTCTGGACAAAACTCACTCTGCAACATTCTCTCTGGACAACACTTCATCTGGCCAACATTCTCTTTGGACTACACTCACTCTGGACAACACTCACTCTGGCCAACATTCTCTCTAAACAACACTCACTGTGGACAACACTCTGGACAATACACTTGACAACATTCACTCCGGACAACACTCACTCCAGACAACACTCACTCCAGACAACACTCTGGACAACACACTGGACAACACACTCGACAACACTCACTTTGAAAAAAACTCACTCTGGACAACACTCACTCTGGACAACACTCACTTTGGGCAACATTCTCTCTGGACAACACTCACTCTGGACAACATTCACTCTGGAAAACACTCACTCTGGAAAACACTCACTCTGGACAACACTCACTCTGGACAACACTCACTCTGGACAAGACTCACTCTGGACAACACTCACTCTGGACAACGCTCATTCTGGACAACACTCACTCTGGACAACTCTCTGGACAACACTCACTCTGGACAACACTCACCCTGCACAACACTCACTCTGGACAACACTCACCCTGGACAACACTCACTCTGGACAACACTCTGGACAACACTCATTCTGCACAACACTTAGTCAGGGTAACACTCTCTCTGGACAACACTCTGGACAACACTCATTCTGGCCAACATTCTCTGGACAACACACTGGACAACACTCACTTTGGACAAAACTCACTCTGCACAACACTCACTCTGGACAACACTCACTCTGGACAACACTCACTCTGGACAACACTCACTCTGGACAACACTCACTTTGGGCAACACTCCCTCTGGACAACATTTATGCTTGACAACACTCACTCTGGACAACACTCACTCTGGACAACACTCACTCTGGATAACACTCACTCTGGACAACACTCATTCTGCACAACACTTAGTCTGGGTAACACTCACTCTGGACAACAGTCATTCTGGCCAACATTCTCTGGACAACACACTGGACAACACTCACTTTGGACAAAACTCACTCTGCACAACACTCACTCTGGACAACACTCACTCTGGACAGCACTCACTCTGGACAACACTCACTCTGGACAACACTCACTCTGGACAACACTCACTCTGGACAACACTCACTCTGGACAACACTCACTCTGGACAACACTCACTCTGGACAACACTCACTCTGGACAACACTCACTCTGGACGACACTCACTCTGGACGACACTCACTCTGGACGACACTCACTCTGGACTACACTCACTCTGGACGACACTCACTCTGGACAACACTCACTCTGGACAACACTCACTTTGGACAACACTCACTCTGGACAACACTCACTCTGGACAACACTCACTCTGGACA